GAAAAAAACAGAAAAATGTAACTACACTATACTTGAAAATTTCTGCACATTAAAAAAAATATTCAATTGAGGGAAAAGGCCTTCTAGGAAATAGGTGAAAATATTTGCAAATCATATGTGATAGGAGTTAATATTCATAATATATGAACAACTCTTAAAACTGAACAATAATGCTAAATTGATTTAGAAATGAGCAATTGAACAAAATTTTCATCAGAAAAGATACACATATAGAAAAAGAGCATTTGAAATGACACAGAACATTTCTCTACTTTGTACAGAAACACATGAAAATAACAGTGAAAAACAAAATTGCCTCATATCCATAACAATGGCCACTATAAATTTTTTAAGCACACCAAATCTGTTGATGATGCAATAAAAATGAAACCTATATTGTTAGTAGAAAACAAAGATACAGTCATTATTTTAAAATGTTGTTTCTCAAATAATTAAAAATTGAATTATCAAATACAGCAATCCCATTTATGAATTTATAGTCAAAATATGAAACACAAGACCTGGAAGACCTATCAGAACATCCATGTTTATTATACCCATATTCACAAAAGCCAAAGGGCTAAAGCAACTCAGATGTCTCTTGATTTATAAACACATCAAAAGTGTTGCATATATATATATATATAAAATAAAATATTACTCAGTTTTAAAGAAGAAATTATCACATTTTATGATAAACTTTCCAAATGTCACCTATATGTCAGAAACGAAATGATGGATACCGTATGATTCCACTTATATAAGATATCTTAAGTAGTCACACTTATAAAAAGAGAAATTGGAAGGGTGTTTGTCAAGCCTGGGGAGAGGGTAAATGCGTTGTTGTTACCTAATGGGTACTGGGTTTTAGTTTCACAAGATGTAAAACTTTTAGAAGTCTTTTGCGTAACTATGTGAATATACTTAACATGCCTGAAATATATAGCTTCCTTTTGAGATAGGGTCTCACTCTGACACCCAAGCCGAAGTGAAGTGGCACAATTAAGGCTCACTTCAGCCTCAAACTTGTCCAGGCTCAAGTTATCCTCCCCTCTCAATCTCCCAAGTAGCTGGGACCACCGGTGCACACCACCATGCCTGGCTACTTTTTAAAAATTTTTGTAAAGAGGGAATCTTCATATGTTGCCCAGGCTGGTTCATATGGTGCCCAGGCTGGTCTGAAACTTTTGGGCTCAAGTCATCTTCCTGTTTTGGACTCCCAAATTTCTGAAATTACACATGTGAGCCACCCACATGTTGGGCCCTGAAATATACACTTAAATAGATTTAAGATGCTAAATTTTATGTGTTTTTACAACAATTAATTTTCTAACCAAAAAACTGAAAAAAACAAGGAATTATAAATCTTTTCAAAAATTACCTTCAAATCACGGAAGTGTTTCTCTTACACAAAGGAAATATATATTCATGATTAAACAAATCATGAAAACAAGAAATGGTGAAAATATTTACATGACTACTCACTTAGACAAGATAAAACCACCACTGAAAATCAGCTAAGAAAGAATATATACAAGAGGCAGAGCGCAGTGGCTCATGCCTGTAATCCCAGCACTTTGGGAGGCTGAGGCGGGCAGATCACGAGGTCAGGAGATCGAGACCATCCTGGCTAACATGGTGAAACCCCCTCTCTACTAAAAATACAAAAAATTAGCCAGATGTGGTTGCAGATGCCTGTAGTCCCAGTTACTTGGGAGGCTAAGGCAGGAGAATGATGTGAACCTGAGAGGCAGAGATTGCAGTGAGCTGAGATTGCGCCACTGCACTCCAGCCTGGGCAACAGAGCGAGACACCACCTAAAAAAAAAAAAAGAAAGAAAGAAAGAATATATACAAGATAAGCCATAACCAATATTGGGGTCATATTTATAGATAAACACACATATATGATTGTGACAGACATATGGCTGACTTATCTTTTAATTAAACCTCACATCGACATAAAGTATACAGACAGAATTGCAAATTGACTAAAATTGTAATACATAAAACAACCAAAAACCATGATAAGCTGATATTAAGAAACCTACACTAAAAACACCACTAATATGAAACTGCACAACAATAAGAGACATGTTTACTCATACAATTTGGTATGCAACATTAATGTACTATTAAGAAAGAATTTGACTACAGTGTTTGACTGTAAGTGTATACTCATCAAAGGCAGGTATTTTGAATAACTGGCAGTAAAATTTCAGAGAATATGCAGTATAATTATAAATCAAATATTCTGATGCGAAACTTCTAACAAGCATTTACAAGAAACGAGTGGCCGGGCGCGGTGGCTCACGTCTGTAATCCCAGCACTTTGGGAGGCCAAGGCGGGCGGATCACCTGAGGTCAGGAGTTCGAGACCAGCTTAGCCAACACGGTGAAACCCAGTCTCCACTAAAAACACAAAATTAGCTGGGAGTGCTGGCAGGCACCTGTAATCCCAGCTACTCAGGAGGCTGAGGCAGGAGAATCACTTGAACTAGGGAGGCAGAGGTTTTGATGAGCTGAGATCATACCATTGCATTCCAGCCAGGTGACAGAGCGAGACTCCTGTCTCAAAAAAAAAAAAAAAAAAAAAA